GCCCAGTCTCTTGATAACCACTGCACTCTCACAATGCTGTTCCACCCCCACAGTGGCTAGCCCAGTCTCTTCATGTCTACTACTTACTTCTACCACTTACACATGCTGTAAGGCTTCTCAGCTCCAGCTGGGAGTCACTTGTAAACTCAACTCTCCTGATGGCCATGTCACCTCTTACTTACTAGCTCTGAAAATGTATACACTGGGGGAGGAGAAAGACATGGGTGGGACCTAATTTCATTTTAAACATTCAAGAGAGAAAAATATGGGGTTGGGGGGGGGGAGTGGTTGCTAAAGAAGGAGCCAAACAGCTGAGGTAAGTGGAGTGTTAGGAAGCAAAAAGTTGAATGCGACCCCCACCAAAGTCGGTGTGTTGTAAACCCAAACCCCAACACAAAGTGTAAGCAGCAGTGGCTAGGCCATGAGGGCACTGCCTTCTGGAGTGGAGTAGCTTTAGCCACGAGGTGGGCCAGTCATCAAAAGCACAAGAGAACCATCAGCGTGGGCTAAGCTAATATAAGAATAGGCTAGTCGTTAAGAAAGAGGACCAGCGATCAGCAAAGTAGGCCGGCTGTTACAAGAGTGGGTCTGCGATCAAGAGAATGGGCTAGCCACAGTGAAAGTGAACTCATCATCGTGAAAACAGGGTTCCCGTCATGGCAAGCATGGGCTAGCCATACCAGACTCAGTTTGATATAAAATGTGTCTCCACTATTTTCTTGCTCCCTCCCATGTCTCATCCTTATCGACAGCATGATCATTTTCAATAGGTGCTGACCCTGGGCCTCCTAGGCTTCAGAACTATACCAAATAAATGTTCTTAAAAATGGCCCTGTTCTTTCATAGTATCAGGAAAGAGGAGTCGGGATTAAAAGACAAACTCACTTCCCTTTGTCTTTGGCCCATGTTACATCTCCTTCCCTTGCACTCTAGAAACTTTGCTGCCTTCAACCTACCTGATGCTCAGAACTAAAGGGTCTCAGGTCCCTTAAAAGGACAGATCAAGAGCACAGAAATGCTCTGAACCCTGATTTCCCACAGGAAAGCTCACCCAGAAAGCTGTAATCAACAGACCTGAAAGAGCTCAGTGGAAGACCCTTGCTGTGGCTCTCCAGACTCCTTGGCTGAGAGACTCTCAAATATAGACAGGAGATGCTCTCGGGGAATCCAGGAGCCTGGAGGTCACTCTAGGTCACTGCAACACTTTCATCGGCACATGTTGTAAGGCTTCTCAGCTCCAGCTGGAATTCACTTGTAAACTCAACTGTCAGTCAGACTCTGAGGCATTCAAAACTCTTGCACCTTTGTGTCCCCTCTATGGCATGGCATGACTTTGTTCTCAATTAACCTGACACATTTAAATTAAATGCAATCTCTGCCATGCCTTTGTTCCACAAAGCACTAGAGGGAATGTACCAAGATATATGTGCGCCACTAAGATAAAACATCTATAGAGCTAAGCAAGTAGATAACAAAATTGACTGGGGATGTAGCTCAAAGGTAGGATGATTGCCTAGCATACGCAAGGTCCTGGGTCCAACCCTAGCACCACAAGATAATAAAGAGAAATTAACGAAATACAGTCTATATCTAACTTTCAAAGATAGGCTCAAGGCTCAGCCACTGGCCACAAAGATATCACACATCTGAATGAGCTTCCTAATAAGTAAAGGGAAGAAACACATTCAGCACAAGAGGGCCAGACCACCAGGGTCCACAGGCCCATTTGCAAGATTACCTGCAGGAAGATTTAATGAAGGCTGGGGAGAGAGCTCCGTGGGTAAAAGGCTTGCCTCATAAGGAGGAGGACCCGAGCTTCATCCTCAGAGCCCACATAAAACAAGCCTGGCTTAGTGCTTGTAATCCCAACACCACGGAAGCAAAGGCAAGTGGACTTGCCAGCCAGTCTAGCCAATTTAGAAAATTCAAGGTGAGTTAAAGAGCCCACCTCAAGAACAGGATGATGAGTTGTGCCCAAGTAATGAGACCTGAGATTGTCCTCTGACTTCCACATGCATGCACCTGCACACAAATGCACACATGGAGGTGGAACTCACAACCACTAAAAGAGAATGTGGTATATAGATTTTCTTTCCACCTACCTTGACATTCTCATCCAGCAGAGGTTAAAAACAGGTCTACATGTCACAGGGGACAATAGGAGCTTCTATTGTTCTATTCAAATAGAGCCAACTTTTCTCTTCCACAATGCTCTGAGTCTCAGGACACAAGTTTAGAGGCTATTGCAAGAGCACATAGTGCAACTCAGGATAGTGGTCCCTGGTGTGGAAAGAGGTTGGGGAATGGTGGGTTAGCACCTTACTAAGCTTAGAGATAGTGAGCAGCCACTCCGGGCTACACAGCCAGGCAGGGGCAGAGTGGAGCCCAATCTGGAAATCTGCTGGGCTGAAGGGCAAGGCTGAAGATCCCATTGCAGTCAGTTCCTCCCTCTTCCAGCCCGGTAGCCCAGACCAGGGCACCAAAATGCTGTAGGACCTGTAAGAGCATCATGCCGTCTTAAGATCATGAAAGCAAAATTTGTGCCCTCATACAAAATTCAAGCAACCTTTTGGGCTAGACAGGCACCTGTGAAGGATGATTATGGCAGGCTGAACACCACTGTGCAGTGACTGGGAAACCCTTCCTGCTCTGTGTGCCTGGCAGATCTGGTGTTGTTCCCAAACCTGATGCCTTTAACAGGCTAGTAGATACCAGAACTCTAAAGGGTGATGATTCCTTCTGGATCCCAGGGGGCAAACAGCTCACTTCTGGATGATTCCCACAGGCCACCCTACAGCTCCCACAGAGAACATGAAGGCCTGGCCTCTGCCCATATCCCACTCACCCCTGCCTCCTGTGCAGACAGGGAGCTCCTTGGAAGCCAGGTTTCTGAGCGGGTGTTGGCAGAATGTGAAAGGGCTATAAAACCATCAGGGCCAGGGTGTCCTGCCTGTTACAGGGCGGTTCAGTGTAATTTCACAGTGATAAAGGTGGCCTGCAGTTGTGGGAGAGATAGGTGGTCCCATAAATCCCGGTCATCAGCAGGGCATGGGGTGAAAAGGTAAAAGGAGGAGGCAGATCAGACTCACCTAAAGAAGTCTGTGACTGGAGTTCAGACTCGGTTGAGGAGTTGGGGTACAGACACCTAGGGTCCTGGAACCTACTCCTGTTCCAACCTTGAAGCTCCAACCAGACCTAGAGAAGGCAGCTGGGAGTGTGCACTCCAGCTCACTTCCATCAAGGCTGGAGTAGGCAGTGAGCTGGAGACTGGCTGGACCACTGTCCAGCCATCTGATTTATTATGATTCTGCACCTCAACTCCTCCTTTGGGACCCAGGATTCACAACCAGCACCACCGTCTAGCACAAATGTCTGCAGCCTGTGCCAGCTCTGGCTGGATACGCCCAGTGGACAAACATTCTGAGTGTGTCACTCACCAGCAGCTCTAGTGTCAGAGTCCCTCAAAGAAAGGCCTATCTGTGCTGGAACAGAGTACCAGCTAAGGACAGAGAAGGGAGAGAACTCATTAAGCAAGCCCTGGAGAGTGACATCTCCCTCCCATCCCTGGAGGCGGCTGTACCCCTGGAGAGGAACCAGCTGGAAGGAAGACATTTGTCAAACTTCCTGCAAGGTGTGTGGAGAAAACACTTGGGTGGCTGCTAAGAGTGAAGAGACTCAGCCCAAACTCTCAGCCATCATGAAAGAACTCCATATCCTCTTACAGGGCCTGCATACAACCTGGATGCTATTGGGATAAGGCCCCAGGGTGTGGTCAGACAGACTGCAGCCTATCTGTGCTGACAGTTCTTTGTGACTCAGAATGTGTTCTTGGCTGTTACTGCCACCTCCTGGTTGTCAGTTTCTACCTCAGCAGAAAAAGGGGTGAGTTAGTTGTCCTCTGATTCTGTGGTCCTCATTCTCTCACCCAAATGGGTTGTCTGCTAGGAGTGTGGAAGGGCTACATCAGGCTGTCTGCTTCTCCTACCCAGAAGAAAGTAGCACAGGGTTCCTGGGAGAGTTCAGGATTAGGACTCAGGACTAGGCAGGGCCAGAGTGTACATTTGTTCAAGTTCTGCACTGCATGAAAGTGCTCATCTGGGGGCAGGCTGATGCTCCTTCTAATATACATTCTTGTGCAAGTGACAGCTCTGAACTCATAGTCAAAACCCACTTCTCACTCTGTGACTTCAAGCACCCAAGAAAGAACCTGCCTACAAGGTCTTCATTATCAGAAATGGGGCTCTTACCACTGCTTCCCAGTAGAAATGACATTTGGTGGGATTAAGAGAGTCCAGCTCCAGAATAGAGCAGAGAAACTAACTCACAGTTGCTGAGGAGAGTTTCCTCCCACGTCCCCCAGCCCAGGCTTCTCCTGCCCAGGATTCACTGGCGAGCATGGCTGCCTGTCACCCAGGAATTCTATTCTTTGAGACCACCTGCTGGTGGGAGCCTCACCTTGCCAAGTGCCCCACAGCCTCTAATAGGATTGTGCCAGTATTCCTCTTGAACTCTCTTCTTGCGGGCTTCTCATGGGAATGCGCGGTAAGGACACTGACCAGTGTCAGCAGTCAGAGGCACGTCAGCACTACTGTGTTTGACTACACTCTTCTGGAGTACTCTGAGCCTTCTGATTGGTTGGTTGCTTAATTGGATCATTGAACCAGGTCTCATTTTATGACTCACACCACACAGAAAGTTACTGTGTAGTCCAAACTGGCTTGAAACTTGTGACAATCCTTCTGCCTCAGGCACCCAAGTGTGATTGCAGGTGTGAACCACCACACCTAACTCAGTCATTTTGTTTTAATTAGCCATGCTTGTATTGCTTTCATATCTTTATGATCACAAGCTTTTTGTCCCTGAGAATTTAGAAAACAGGAGTCATTCTAGAAAAGTCTGCACCTGCTTTGCCTGCAAACTCAATGGTTCTCCATTGCCTAGGAAACCAGTCCATGCTTTTAACTGGCTGCTTCCTGTTGTTGTAGGACAAGGGGCTAAAGGACACTAATCACCCTGTTGAGGAGCTCAGGTTCTGCTGGCAGTGAGGGGTGAGCAAAGTAGGGCCTGATAAGGAAGTCAGAAATAAATGTAACAGCTTCTAGAAACTGGAAGCCATAAGCCTGGGGCTTCGAGCTGAGGAAAAAGTCAGGCTGTAAGTTTAGAGTTCAAATACGGAACTTAGGAGGCTGGCAGGTGGCTCTGTACTTATAGTGCGTGGCTCGCCTCAAGAGCAAGACAACCTGAGTTTGAGCCCCATGGCCCATGAACAAAAGCCAGGAGTGCGTATAATCCCAGCACCAGGGGTGGGGGGGGGGGGCAGGGGTAGAGGGTCCTCGGGGCTAGCTGAACCAACCGGTGAGCTCCACATTCCCTGAAAGGCCTGCCTTAGAAATAGGATGGAAACTGAATAAAGAAGACTCCCTTCATTGACCTCTGGTGTGTGTGTGTGTGTGTGTCCTAAAGAAAGAAAATTAGTGGTGCTGGGCTAGGAGGAACACTCAGTGACCAGGGACAACCAAAGCTAGTGATGGATAGCCCCAGGCTAAGATCACAGCAGTAGCTAGGACTTGAGAAAACTTCTGGCAACTAGCCAGAACAGGCTCAAACAGCCCCAAACACAAGCTGCCCTTTTGTGGCCTCTGACAGCAAGTGACCACTTCCCTACAGTCAACCTGGCAGCAAGGGATAAAGCCACCAGACCAGACTGGAAACCTGTTTGGCATGTCCACCCTCCCTTCTCTCTAGGTTTGTCAGAGTTGTGATTAGTCTTCATTTTTCCTTTTTATTTGCACTCATACACTAGCCATTCAGGCTCCACGTGGGTCTACATAGCCCGAAACACAACTTCTCAGTCGTCAGACTCCTTGGACCACTTGTGGGAGGAGCTCCCCTCCTGGCTTCCGGATGCTCTGAAGACAGACTCACAGAGACCCACAGCCCTGTTGCTGGTAGGGGGCCTCCTTCCTGCTTTGGGTGTATACTCACCATTGCTGACCTCTGAGACTCTCTGCTTCTATCACTCATATTAGCAGCATGCTCCTGAATAACAGACTTGTTCTTCAGAAGACTGCTCTCTGCACTCCAAGACTCACCAAGAATTTGGAGCAATAATATCCATCTCACTGTTACCAGGAGTTCTGTGCTCCAGTGAGCTGTTGGTAGTCTATTTACACATTCAAATCATCACCCCTGTACCAAGACTGTCCTCCCCTACTCATCCCTCACTGCGCACCCACGTCACTCTTCATTGGAGAAGAATCGTCTTACAAGTACCACAGTGCAAGGAAGAGGCACAGCCAGGACTCAAACCCACAACTCCTGCTTCCGTATTCAGATTCTCCTTAATCTGTTCCAGTTTCTCTTCTGTGGTTCTTGATGACCGAATTCCCTCCCTCCTACGATGCAGCCTCTGCCTAAACTGCAAAGCATGCTAGGGTTCTGGAAAGAGGCTGATGACCCCGTGCATCTTGGTTCTCTGCTGTGTGACCGTGAGTGGACTGGGAGCTTCTCTGAGCCTTCTTTTCTCATTTGGTATTCACATGCTCTGCCCCAGTAGGGAAGGATTACTTCATATTTTTCCTCCCATAGCCCAGTAAGGGGGAATTGAGAAAAATGGCTAGCTTGTGCAGTCTGGTTTCTGAACAGGAGCAAAACAGGGCTGGAAACATGGGTGTGGAGGTATGGAGTTATTGAAGAATTGAGAATGGACAAGCAGAAGGCATACAGAGAGGCATATAAAGAAAAAAAAAGAGGGTGTTCCTTACAATTCCCAGAAAAAGCAGCTTAAGGGAGAGGAATTTCTTTTGGCTCCTAAACAGCCAAGCATGGGAAAGGCCAGGTGGCCTCGTACTGTGGCAAAACTTGGGACCCGTCACCTCACATCTCAGCAAATAGGAAGCAGGGCTTGTGTGTCTCCCCACTCCTTGGGACCCACTTCCTCCACCCAGGTCTCACAATCTCCCAAATGAGTGCCTCCATCCTGGGAGTGAGTGCTCAGCTTCTGAGCTAAGGAGGAACATTTCCCCTTCAAACCGCACTTGCTGTCTTTGATTTAACACTTGGTAAACCCTAAATCCTGATGAACTCCTTAGAAGGAGTGAGAGAGCACGGGCAGCAGAAAAGTGAAAGCTGACTTGAATTGTTGAGTCAGCCAGTGACTGCAGCAGACCAGGATCTGCAACCCCATGATGGAGCCCTGGTCTTCCTGGGGACGGTTCCCTGTGGCTGTCTTGGGTATATTACAGCTACAGTGGTAATTGGGCTTCCTTTTCTCCCTTTCTCAAAGCCGGTGAGGCCTAGCCCCATCCCCCACCCTTGTCTCACTCCCACCCCTGAGCACTCAGCATTCACACAGTTTGGAGGCACAGTTATTGTAAAAGCACACCACATGGCAGGCACGGACATGTCTGTCCTTGGAGGACTCT